CAGGACCCCCAGATCCCTCCTCCCCTGCACCCTCGCACCCCTCGCACGGAGGCAGGCGGCCCCGGATCCAGCCTCCCCCGGGAAAGCTCCAGGACGCAGACAGCAGCAAGGGGCTGCGTTTGGTTTTATTTTAATCCCAGACCCTGGGTTGATTGCCGGTATTTCTGACCGGGACACAGCTCGCTTTGCCCCGGCCTGCATCTCACGGCGGGCGGGCACCTAGCCGGGTCTCCCCGCCCGGGAGGGGCCGCCCAGGGGCGCAGCAGCCGGTTGCTGGATGGGAGCTCTGGGGTGAAACGTTTCTGCAGCTCGAGTTGCCGCTCCCGGGTGCTCGGCGGCGCGTCTGCACGCAGCCGAGGCCAAGGCGGCTGCAGCCTGAGGCAGGAAGGCGCCCAGCCCCGGACACGGAGAGCACCGAAGGGATCTTGGGGAGGAAGAGCCGGTCTCCCCCTGCCACCCCCCTGCGCAGCTGGCTCGGCTTCCTTCTGCGGGGCAAAAATGGGAGCGGGGGAAAGGGATCCGGCCTCAGATGCGGGCGCAGGCAGGGGGCAGGTCGTCTGGGCCGGGGCACCGCCGCCCGACTGCACCGGCTGGAGGGGGAGAAAACGAACCGGCCCGGGCCCGGGCGCTGCGAGGGACAGAGGCAGCGCCGGGAGCAGGACGGGATCCTCTCCCAGCCCGTCCCCTCGGGCGCTGGAAGCACAACTTCGTTTCCCCCCATCACGAGCGGGGCAGATCCCGACATTAGGCCCGAGATCGGTCCCGAAATGAGGGGCCAGGCGGGCTCCGTACAAAACCCTCCTTTATTGTACAGGCGCGGGGGAAGCCGGGCAATAATTTAGCATGCACGCGTGTCCCTTCTCTGTTATAAATACAATATACAAAAATAAAGACGGTCCAGTCCGAGGTTTCCAGCGGCTCCAGCGAGGAGGAGAAGCGCGGGGCGTTCCCGGCACTCGGGCTCCGTGTCCCCGGGGAGGTTTTCCAGCTGTGCCTTAATACTGTCGTGAGCCGCGAGCCCGGGTCAGGACCCGCTCCCGGCCGCCGCCCCGCCGCTCACCTGCCCGGCGCCCCCTCCGGGCGGGCGACTCG